TGATTTTTTAATAGAAACATGTGATTGTTTTTCCTGTTCATTTTCTTAACTACCGGTGAATTTAGATTTGAAAGAGGCCTGGATGTATTCCAAGGATTCTGTGACTTACATACAGGCAGTGGTGAAGACTCCTCGATGGTTTCTTAAACTCTAACGATGGTTGTCATGTAAATAAAACTCACGCTTTCTCGTGACCAGTTCCCTCTGAATGAACTGATGTGTTTTTAATCTTCAAATCTCTATCTCTCCAGGGACTTTCATTCATTCAGAAAGTGCACGAGGGTCTTGCGCAACTTTCCTCAAAGTTAGGAGGAGTTCAAGGTCCAGGGCATTATGGGAATTGTAGGCTTGTGACTCTTAAGAACTGAGGTGGAAGTGAAGCGACAGATGGTTATTACGCATCGTTCTGTGCAATAAATGAAGGGTTTCACTGCGATACACGTGCTTCCTGTTGTAACCTACCAGTTCGGGAACACTGGGTCCTCAGCGTGCAGAGTTTTACTCCACGGCTCAAACCACTGGATGTCCCGTCCCACCTCAGCCCAGTAACTCTCGGGTTGGTCCCTGGCTGAGGCGAAGGTCCTGCGGTACGCAGCGTCGGACGCGTAGTTCCTGCAGCCACGATGTTGTTGTTGTTGTTGTTGTTGTCGTGCAGCTGCAGAGACAATCCGAGGGTTCCTCCTGCACGGCACCGGAGCGCACCGAGTCAAGAGCAGGAGGTGCCTCACGCGTTGGTGCATCGCTGCTGTTGTGGTTAACGTAAGGAGTGAACTTTCACAACAAGCTTCCCACTTTCCTCTTCCCTGAGATCCTCCTGCAGCTCCTTCGACGCGTCAACGAGGGGTGACGTCATCTGGAGGCACCTACAGGAAGAGAAGCCTAAGCTTTATCAATACCCCTCCTCAAGGAACGCGAACTATGAACTGGATGTGGTTGGTGCAGGAGGAGCTTTGAACCACATTCAAAGCTGTTACACAACCACCTAAACCGGGAGAACGGTGCCATAAACCACCCAGAGCTGTTACATGAGGAACAACATGGGAATGATGCTGTGCAAAGAAGAAAAATTAAAATATTCAGATTTGCAGTCTGTAGTTATAAACAGAGCCCATAACACTTTTAACAGATGTGACATCTATACATGTGGCCCTGTCCATTGGTTTGTCAGCAGGATTGTGCAAAAACTACATTAAACATGAACATTCCTTGAGAAACAACATGTTAACGATGCCTATGCAAAGAAGAAAACTCAAAATAATCAGATTGAGACAACTTTATTGATCCCAAGGAGGACCCCACTCCCGATCGTACAAATAACATCCAATATGATACGTGTCCAAAAGCAAAAGCGCAGCACATCAAGATAAAGACTAAGGAGGAAATATAAATTATAATTGTATAATAAATAGACATTTGTCTCCTGTGTTATATCATAAAAGGTGTCATTAAAAATTTAAACTGTCTGAGTTTTGCAGCCTGATGGCAGAAGGACTGAAAGATTTGGAGTGTTGGTTAGTTCTCCTCTGAGCTAAATAAATAAAGGCCTCATCATTGACATTAGATCCGTACCCTGTAGGTCATTTATCATGCAAAACAAAAACTTTATCGTTTATTCATACGCTCAAAGCTCAAACAAATCTTTGTTTAATAGCAGCAGGCATTAAACTTTCATGGTCCTCAGGGTGTCATCATGAACACCTCTTCATTTACAAGTCAAATGCCTTTGCTTAAAGTGATCAGCGAAACCACTCTGGCTTGTTTTGTGGATATTTATGAACACAATTATATGGACTCAAACAGAACATACACCCTTATACTCCACATACTCAAAATGTCTGAGCCACTTGTTCAAGTCTTGTGCTTGTGGCTTGTACAATCCTGTCATACCAAACATGCAGCAGCTCCATGTCCCCACCTCTTTCATCACCGCCATCATCCAAGCTGCCAGTAAATACCCATAATCCCGCTTGACCCCCTGCACATGACCCCTGCACGCCGCTGCCCCTGGTTGAGTAACTCATCCATCTGATATTTCAAGTCATCTGTTTCTTTTTATACATGCACAGCAAAGCTTTCTGCTGGAAACTTGTGGAAGTATTAAGCTTTTTCCCGGGAGGCTTGAGAAAAAAAATCTGGTATATTCAGGGTACTGATATTTTTGAGTGTGTGCAATCCAAATAAAAATCTGTGTTTAGCAAATTTAAATGTTCCAAATGGTTCCACAAGGCTTTGATGGAGATAAGCCCTCTACTGAGTTTGTAAGTTTCCATATGTTTTGAATTTTCGTGGTATTCTTAAACCCATCACCTCTGAGTTATCCTGCTGCTTTTCAGGCTTGATGAAATTATTATACTTTCCCCTGATATTGATTCAAATTTCTTCCCATTTCAACAGAGCATGCAAGTTACAAATCCATATTCATGCATAATCAAAACCCTGGTAGTGAACGGATGCCTCTCCTATCCACTAATGCTTAAATTTTTCTGGCCAAAAGGTCTCTGCTAGATCCAGACACTGCCATAACTCTTTTTATAACCACGCAGATGCTATTGGCAGAATATGTATCATCACCCGTACTCTCTGGCACCGGACGTGCACTGAACACTAACTAAACAGTTGCTCGCGGAGCCCGATCAGAGCACAGTCCAAGATGGCTCATCAAGGCCCCTCCACCGCCGCCTTCATCTCTGATTTTATGAGACGAGTGTGAATCTTTTGAAGCAGTAATCAGTTGACCGCTCTTCAGAAAACAGTCAGCGACAAATTAGTAGAGTTTATCTGCACATGATTAATCTCCGAGCAGTGTGTGTTTTTTTCTCTCTTCCCACGGAGTGTCTGAGTATGGATTATGATGAAATGAGTTTGAAGATAACGATTGTCATTTAACATCTGGAATAGGCTGTGGATGCGGCAGTTGTATGAGAGGCTGGTGGATGATTTCAGACATCTTTATTCATGGTTTTAAAAGAGATTATTCATCACAGTGGAGTGATATTTCTGTAGGAGTTGCCAAAAACTGAACATACAAACTACGAGGAAACTTTCATGAAGTGCACTGGTGATGTAAGTGCAGGTAAAAGCCATTATCCCTGTTGAAGATTTCTTTTTTTCAATGTCCGTGAAAGCAGGAGATGAGGATAAGAAGTGACTGATGGATACAGGAGAGCTATTTATTTATATTCTATTTAGATGTTTATTCTATTGAAGGTTCACACATTCAAGACGCCTAGAAGCATCACCAGCTCAATATGAATACAGACATCTTAATATTTCTTACTGTCGGTCTGAAACTGAAATGCCAGATGAGTTTGGGCGCAGCATCAATAATGTTTTTCATTTTAAACCTCTTTATATTGTGACAGGTCTGAATATGTACTTCAACTTGTCGCATCTGCTCAAATGAAATGAGATTAAATAACCCAGCAGCTAATGGATGTGACAAAGTGAACCAGTGTACAATATCATTACTTTATGTGATGCATTATTTCCACCTGACAAGGTGGCTGTTTCTCAGAAGGGGATGTCAATAGTCTCACGGTTTAATGAACGTTGTGGAGGTGGTTAAAATTTAATAGCAAATGCAAAGTGGCTGACTCCGTAAAGCAAGACCATGTAACTTTTAACTTAAAAATGTTATCTTTAAAATGAGTTTGATGGTTCACTGACTTTGAATAAGGAGAGTGTTTCCTCTTTCCTTGCCGCTCCTCACCCTGAACGTCTGACCTCGCTCAGTGTAACTTTGGTGAGTGGGTTCGATTTCCTGTGAGAAGTGTGGAACTGACTGAGAGTTGCTGCTTCAACTGTCAAATTCAGGTCCAGCAAGTTGAAGAGTAAAGTTATTTATTTTCAACATCAGCAGGAAACTTTTAAAACATGAAGAATACTTAACAGAGGTTGGTGGCGATCTGTTACAGCTGCAGCTCTTCTGGTTCAGGAAGCTTGGAATCATGGGTAATGTCCACCGTTCGTGTTTCAGTTCAGTGAGTGAGTCAGAGCTCCAGTCAATATTGATGGACGTTGTTTTTCACCCTTCTTGAAATCGCTTGGATACGGAACCCAACAGAATTAATCACAATGCGTGGCAGCAGAGGGCGCTGTTGCTCAGTTAAAGTTACTTAGTGCTGCTTTAAGTCGTCTCAATAAAATTTAACTGAACAGGAAGCCATGAGGGTTCTGTGGACGGTGGATCTACTTAAATCTATCCACTTGCTTCATCAACTTGTTTTGTTAAAAGATGAATAAAATGTTTTACCACACACGCTCATATGATCATGCACATTCATGATCTGTCAGCTGCTTCCTGATGGAGCTTTGTAATAAACCAAGGTGCTGCTGTGGGAAAGCAGCCTGTCACATCATGCAGGAAAACCTTAACACATGTATCAGGATTACATATGAACATTGTTCTGGAGATTTATCTTTCCCCAGTGTGACACGCCATGTAGATCACAGTCAGAGCTGCACGGAGATCACAGTCAATAGTTGTCAAAATGTATGATCCACTGTCCCTTTTTAATAAATAAAAGATTAGTGAAGCATTTCTGCTGTCAGTCAAAGAATTACAGCAAAGAGTTGGGAGCATCCCACATTATCAATGCAATCCTCATAGAGGGGGCATGAAAACCTTCATTGAAGTTGTGCTCCATCTTCATTTACTGTGACCCAGTTACATCGATAGTGTTTTTTATATAGATAATATAGATCCCAACATTATTCATATAGACGCTGTAGTGGCAGAGATGTTCTCTATTCTTTTTGGGAAAGCATCATTTTTAAGCAGGGGCCTGGGAAAAGGCCACATGAAAAAATAAAACTCTTATTGCATTCAGCTGAGAAATATCACAAAACCACTATTTACACCTTTTGTATGGATTCAACAAACCATATATTAGATGCTGGGTGAGAGGTTCTGCTAAACCGAGCCAGGTGAGCTGCTCCCCTCAGTTTCCAGCCTTTGCTCTTTGCTGAGTAAAGCGGCCGGCTGTATTCTTGTGGTTTACCATGCACACTTGAAAGTGTTATCGATCCTCTCATCTAATGCTCAACAAGAGCCGTTAATAAGTGTATTTCTCCAAAATAAATAATTATACAAATAAATCTTGGTGTAATGAGCTTTCATCCACCGTCCAATCGTCTGTCTTGTGCATTTTCTTCAGGCCTCTCAGAAATCAATTTATTTGCAGTTTGACAGCTTTAAGAGCACTGCAGCATAATCCCACCTCTTAAAAAAAAAAAAGCAGAACTGTATTCTGGCCCATATGGATGGGAGGCTGTAATCTCTCCGTGCCCTCTTTCTCGTGCTCTCTCTAAGCCCTCACCCTCTGCATCCATCCCCTTCAGCTGCACCACTTACAACCTGTTTACATCTGCATGCAGCCTGGTGGGAACGTGGACGGCTGGAATCATCAGCAAGTGTGTGATTAAACATGTGCAGGTTTAGCAACAGTTTCAATCAAAGGCAGAGATTACCTGATGCCTTAAAATGATGGAAAATGATGAAAATTCCATTTAAATAGAAAACTAACTTCTTCCCAAGTGGGTAAATAAAGTGATTTTATTCTTGCAAGGCAAAATACATGAGATTAAAATGACTTTATTGTCGTCGTGGACTGTGTAGACTACGAGGCCGAACCAAAATTAGACGATCTGGTTCCGCAGAGGATTGATCAGCGTCACCAGCTCATCCTGCACTAATTGCTGCTGCCTAGAAACAGAGCTGAAGTTCAACAAGAATGTTCTCCTTGGTTTTGTATAATGCGTGTGCAGGTAGCTGACTCTCAAGCATATGGACATCTCTTTGCTTGCCGGCACCATTACCTTATTGAAAAGGCAGCCTCTGAAGGATGCAGCCAATGAACTGAAACTCAGCTGATATGATACTGAGAATTTTGTTCTGAACACCTTGTCTCAGAGTTGTATTTGTATTTAGAGCATGCAGTTGTCACGGTGAAGTCAGAACCATGAGACCCATCATGCTGCTGCAACATCTGCCCAACCAGGAATTCTCCACTTCTGTTGTGAAGTGAAAGTGTTGTGACTGTCCAGGTATGAGCCGACACCATTAGGCAGCAGATCTACAGTAAATGAAGCGAACCACTGGTCTGGCTCTGTTCTGCGGTAGCATATAAACATGAGGATTAATCCTTAAGCCCTTCAGCTGAGGTTCACTACCATCATTCAGTCCTTATCAGGCCGCATGCAGTGCGCGTAGCCAAGAGAGGAGATAACTGCTGGCGTGGCTCAGCGCTTCACAATAAACCTTAATGGCAAGCGTGCGCGCAATCAACTGATCTGTGAAGTGCAATGGATGAATGGATTATACGCAGCTAAGCATTTACACGTGCCGGCGCAAACAAAATACACACGTGCCCGTGATTGTTGGATTCAGAATGCGAAGCGCAAGGCTGCCGATGGGGGGTGTGTTACAATGATTCACGACTGACTTTTTATATAGTTTGTGATATAAATGACTACACAGCGAGTTGGAGGGGGTGCAGGAGCCCGATGTTATTCTGATTTATGAGATACACTACATGGCCAAAACTATGTAGACACAATATTCATGTGTTTTTATGATTTTTCTTTCCTCTTGGGCTTTTGGAAAATGCATGTTTATTACATTTTTTTGGGGAAATATTAATCCCCAGCATTCAACAATATTTTGGATGATAGTTTGCCTCAAGCTTTGTGGCAAAAGTTTACAGAAGGCAATTCATGCACAAAGCAACTTGGACAAAGACTGGCTACACAATCTTATGGACAACCTCTCCACAAGACAGACGACCAGTTGCCCATAGTACAATATACAATAGTACAATGTACAATAGTACAATGTACAATAGTACAATGCCCACGTCTTTCAAATAAGATGCTCAACTCATCTTGGTCGCCCCCTGATGGCTGGCTGCAGTACAAGTCATAAATGCCACCTCCTCTATGTTAGGAGACGGGACACGGAACAAACTAAAAAGTCAAAGTAAGTGGATACAACAGCTCCATACTCCGGCTCCAAATACGCAAGATGGCAGCACTTGTGTGTGAGATATTTTGGCTTTGAAAAGTGCTTATTATGATGATTGCTATTATTGTTCAGCTGATAGATATAGAGCAGATCCGTGCCTTATTATTCATCGATCCACTCAGTGACTCAGCTGAAATATATCCTCACAAACGAATAAAAATATTTTACCACTTGTATTAGTATAATATACTTGTGTCCATTACAAATTAATTTCACGTCATGTCATGGTGTCTATACAATCTGTATCTTCTATGGTGCTGGATTGTTCCGCCTCTTTGTTGAGATGGACATTTTTATTTCATCGTTGTATTTAAAACACCAGCTGATGAGATGTTATGAGGATGGAAGAAAATAATTATGAATATTATTAATATTGTTATTATTGTTATATTTATTACTTTCTCCCTGTCTCTCCCCTATCTCTCTCTACTTCCCTCTCTCTCTCTGTGATGATGTAGTCTCTCTTTCCCTCTCTCTCTCTCTGTGATGCTGTAGTCTCTCTCCCCTCTCCCTTCCTCTCTCTCTCTGTGATGCATTAGTCTCTTTCTCTCTCCCCCTCCCTCGCTCCCTCTCCCTCCTCCCCTCTCTCTCACTCTGTCTCTCACTCTCCTCTCTCTCACTCTCTCTGTCCCTCCCTCTCTCCCTCTCCCTCCCACTCTCACTCTCTCTGTGATGCTGTGGTATCTCTCTCTCCCTCTCTCTGTCCCTCCCTCTCTCTCTCCCTCCCTGTCTCTCTCTCTCTCTCTCTCTCCCTGTGATGCTGTAGTATCTCTCTCTCCCTCTCTCTCTGTCCCTCCCTCCCTCTTTCTCTCCCCCTCTCTCCCTCTCTCTCTGTGATGCTGTAGTCTCTCTCCAGTCTCCAGTAAACAGCAGTCATGGCGACAGTGGTCCAACCGCTCACCCTGGATCGAGGTAAGACGGAGCTTCGCACAATTGTTCATGTTTTATTTCTGTTTTCTCGTCATTTAGAAAACTTGGGAACACGCAGAACCTCCGCGCTTCATCCAGGTGTTTGTTTCTCTGCTCGGCTCTTTTCCCACAACGCTTCGTTATTTCCGAAGCAATCTGAGCTAAATAAAAACCAGTCAGTCGGATGCGTGCGCGTATTTTTTTGCAGAGGCAGAGCGCTGGTTTCCTCTGTAAACCCTCTGGATGCTCGCATTTAATCAACCTCATTCATCTGTTATCAAATCATCTTTTATTCCCTTCTTTATTATGTAACCTCCTCGGTGGTATTATTCCATGATAGTGCAGCGCTTCTTTCTCGTCATGTGTAAACAAAACGCCCCTGAAAGGCATGAAAATCTACTTTGGAGACAACTTTCGTGTTTGCATTGGACAGGTGCATGGGACAAGGAAATGGACATGATGTTGTCCTATTGTTGTGCACATGCAACTTGCAAGAATGTGCAATTAAAAGCTGTGGTGATATCTTCAGATGGCAGCCTGTGTTGAGCTGACTCTGGTCATGCAATTGTAGCCCATGTGACTGAAACAGATATTTGGGTATCCTCTGACCTCATGTGCCTCTAGCATGGATCCTCACGTAATTAATAATGTCACCGATGTGGAAGCAGCTTTAATCCCTCAGTGCATTTGGGAGAAGACAGCACCAATGTTCCTGCAATCTTACAAGTCCCCGAAGAACACTGCCAGAAGATTTTAAAAAACACACACACACACACACAAAGCGTCCTATATACACTCATGAGAAGCACTTTAAATCCCCATACTTTCTGGATAAAAGTGTCTATTTTTAGATTGCAAGCAAAAAGATTCCCCAGTCTTAACATCGAGATCAAATGCATATCCGCCGGTGAAACGTAATATTGCACAAGCCTTGCATAGGAAATGGATTCTGTCAAATATAAAGAAAGGAGAAACCATAGCTGTTTCCTCTGTGCCAAGTGAAGCTGGCATCGAGCCCCCAAAGCCACAAGAAGAGATTATAAATACACTAAATCTGGTGTGAGCATGAATTATGGTGCAGGAAGTAATCTGACAGGTGTCACAATTAGCCACAATTGATCATTTTCTGAAATGAGGAATTAGATTTTTGTCCGCTCGCTCAATTGCAATTTGTTCTGCACTAAAGTTTATTGCTCTGGGGCAGTCAAGCTTTACTGATGCACAATCTGTTGCGTGCATTTGCAGAGTTAATATAATGAATAAGATTGCAGCAGCAAACAGATTAGACCATTCCCCCATCCACCACACAACTGACTGAATTAAATAAAGGGACTAAGGTGTTCTGATAAACATGATGCTGAACGCTCAACTGTGAGAAATGTCCTTGTCTATTTAAGTTTTATTTGATCCTAGTCGTTTGCTTTGACAGTGACTCAGACGTGACCTCCGCCTGTTTGCAGCGGATCCATATTCACGTGCCGTGGCATGAATTTGACCAGTCAGCGGCTGGCAGCTGTAATGGCCCCGAGCTGTTAGTAATGATAGTTTCACACTGGAACTGTCAAGAGGGAGAGGCAGCATTACAGGATCCCTTTCTCAGCTACTAGGCCGTAATTGCTGATGAAAAGCTGGTTTTCGTCTCATGTTGGGAGCGGCTCTGGTCGCTGAGTTTGTCAAACACACACACGGGGAGGAAACAGACAGAGATGTTTAATTTTCAAAGCTCCCACTTGTCTTGTCGGGTCACAGCAGGATGAAAAGATCTTACATCACTGGTCTTCCTGTTATTGTCGGAGGAAATGACGATGATAAGAAAGCACCAGTGCCAAGGACAATGGATTTGAACCTCTCTGTATATATAATAAAAGCATTCAACCATAAATACGAATGTACCAGAGATGATGACAAAGCATCTAATGTGAAACAATGAGTGTAGAGGTCATTGGGATTGTGTCACAGTTGTGGTTGATAAGAATATTTTCTGAAAAAACTTCTTCTATTGATTTGGAAAGAAAAGTTGGACACTATCGCTAAAAAAGAGAGTTTGTGTGCAAGTTGACCAAAAAAGTAGAAAGTGAAAAAGAAATGCATGGATTCTTCCTTTGCCATAGCTTTTACCCTTCCACCAAATTCGGTGGAAATCATTTGTTGTGTTTTGAGCTAAATGCTAATGCAGCATATTCTCAATGAAATGGCTAACATGCTTATGTTTAGTAGGTATACTGCTGCCTTGTGCACACACTTGTTTGTCAAATATCGAGGTCATGGCGGCACTAGACAAACATTTTGAGGCTCACCAACGTCTGTATAAAATTTCATCCAGTAGCTTACCTGTTGAGATAATTCAGTTTGGATTGAAAGTGGTTGTCAAGCTTTGCCACCCCATGCAGCTAGTGAGGTTAAAACATCAAACAGGTAGAGGTTAACTCCAGCAGTATGCACCTTTTGTTTTCTGTGGGGAGTTAAACCCTTTTTTTTTATACAATTTATATCCTCCTATCTTAACAGATCTGAGTCCTGCTGTCCAAGTCCTTGTTTTCTCGAGAGACCTTACCCCCATCACATGCTCAGTCACACCAGCGAGTTGTGAAGGATTAGAAGTATGCTGATTAGCTGACATTACTCATCGCAGGTTGATATTTCTCCCTCACCTCTTTGAAATACAGAAATAAAGGCTTGCAGGCTGATTGTCTTGCAGGGATTCTGTCCAGTAATTAGACAGGATGAAGAAGACGTTAAGAGTAAAATGTTTTTTCCGTCTCGGTTTGCACCTCAGGCTCCTGCAGGAGCCATTAGCCCTCAAGGAGTGATTTATTTGCTGTGCTTCAAGGGGATGGAGGCAGTAGGGCGATTTAGAGCTAATTCACTTGGCTTGGGGACATGACTTGTTTGGTAAAAGCTTGTTGTCTAATTTTACTCATTCATAGTGTGATTATTTCAGTTTTTATCAGCTGGAGTTAGAGACAAGGCCACCAAGGACATCCAGGTCGAAGTGGTAGTGGCAGATGGCAAGGCCCTTTCAGGACAATTTATTCCAGCACGCATGCCATCCACAAAGCATCTCTCCAGGTACAGAGGTAGGAGCAGAGACAAAGAAAGGTCACTTGAGCCTTTTACCGTCATCTGCTGAGTTGGAAAGTGACATTTCAATCAATAATCAAAGTCAGAATTTGAAAAGAGGATCTTCAGGTTGCAGAGATTTAATCAAGACCCCACAGGAGGAGAATCAGCCTCCGATGCGGACGTGTTTATTTACATCACTGCAGTTTTGACAAAATGACACTGTTGAGCACTGAAAATACTTAATACCATGTTGCCCGGTGCATCCCTGCAACAATGCTGTGGAGCCTCACAGAGCGCCGAAGCCTTCATTACGTGTCACTGTAGGTTTGCTCAGCCCGGTGCATTTCCTCTAATCAGCGAATGATGAGGATGACCTTTTCCAGTCAGCCAGTCTGATGTTAGAAAAGCTCAGGGAAATGAGTTCCCAGGGTGTTCGGCTACACAGACAATAACATTTTACAGAATGCCTCGTTTTGGATTATTTTATTATTCTTGTAAAGTGGAATGACAAGAAGGAACTCTAAAGATCTGAGGAGTATAATTTATTTCCTGTAAAATCACTGCACACCAGGGACACGATTGTTTGTGAGAGATCATTCGCTGTATTAGTCCATCTATATATATATATACATCTATAGAATTTACTTTTCCATCCTTATTTTATTAGTGATAATGTTTTCACCAAGGAGGAGGCATGGGTCAGGGAATAACAGATTGAATTTTGGTGCAGATCCAGGAGGCACATCCAAGATTTGTTCTCATCACTTCCTTCAACCGAAACCCTGATTTCTCAGGGAGTAATTCATTAATCTTAATTAATCATATTTAGGGGACTGATTTCTAAGTGTTGTGTTCCTCCTCTTTTCTTATTTTGACTATTTCCAAACAGAAATAACGATTTAAATATAAATCCAAGTCTTTCAGCTACTTTAATACAGAATGTTTTGCAAGCTGCCGTATTTCTGTTTTTCTCACGGTGCTGCCTTCAAATTGATGTCATGAGGTCATATTTTCAACATGGGGAGACACGTACGTTGTATGTTTGGCATTCAGGTGATGAACACTGCAGCTAGACTGTCAAGAAAAATGGACGTTGTTATTAAACAGCAACAAGTAGGAAATGCCGGCAAACCTCATCACTCATGAGCCACGGGAAACTTTTCAATTACTTCTCAGTTTATCCTCAGTCCTCTGGTGCTTTTCCTCAGTGGACGTGATGACACACTCACCATCTCTCCATGTAAAGTGAGAAACAAAAGGAATATTTCATGAAACTCTTTTGGAAAATCTCTCGTATTTAAATTCTGTTTGAGGCAGTAGAAATACATTGACCTGCTGGTGTGTGAAATATAAAAGTGAGGGGATGTGCCAACATTAAAATCTGTCGGGCAACAGAAAGTTTTAGGGACTTTAATGCTGCCTTTAACATTGTTTGGCTTTTTCTTTTTGAGATTCATTAATGAGCCTCCTTAAAAACTGAGATTGTATCATCAACACATCATGGAAACTTTGTTCAAAGTCTTGATAGTCACGTAATTAAAAAACAAGTTTCATCAAACTAATTTAATCACTAATGAGAAAACCCTCATCCCTAACATAGGAGAGGGAAATTAATTGCCGACAGTATCTCTGCCGGTGTCACATTCTGCTTAATACAGCAGCAGAGCATTACACTGTCACTGTATCTTGATGTCACTCACGTTAAGGTTTTCCTGGTTTGGTACAAACCTTCTGACTTTTGAGTTTAGTCTGAACCAAAATAAAAAGTGTGAAAGGAGCCTCGGACCACAGTAATAAGTTTTGGACTTTCAAACCAACTGCAGGAAGTTGAGGGAACATTAAACAATAAAATACTTTGCCTCTGACGATATGTTTGAACAACAAGGACGCTCTTTCTGCGCATTCAAACTAAAGATTGACCATTAGAGGATTTATACAGTCGATGTAGGCAGATGATGTGAGAGAAAGAAAACCTAAAACTCCTTCCCCCTCTCTCTTTGGAGAACAATCTGTCAAAGTGAGATGACCTAATTGTGCACAGTCTGTTTGCTTCAGAGATTCGCTAAATTTGGCAAAGTGAAAGTTGTCACTGTTCAAATTTGAGCTTATTTGTTTTGTATATACCGACTGGATCACAGAAGCAGACGTAAAACCCTGCACAGATGTTGCACACATCTGGAATCCCCCAGGGCGCCAAGCTGTGGTCTCTGGGTCGAGATTAAAGTCAATACAATACAATAAAGCCCCCGAAGGCAAAAGCTAATTTCCCACTACTGCATTTCAGTGGAGGAGTAATTAGGTCAGGAAGCCTGCGAAGCGTAGCTCTGGCACGAGTGTTCAAATGTTTTACTCACGAAACAGCTTAGTTTGACTGATGAAAGACTCAATTGCATAACTCAGAGAAAACAGGTTGGGTAGAAGCAGCGTCCAAACACAGGAGGTGGGAAACACGCAGGCTGTCAGGACAGAAAGGTCAAGTCTGGAAGGTAGAACATTTAAAAAGGGCAGTTTTAAAGAGACATCACAGACGTGTGGTGGAAGCTAACGCTAGTGGACGATTTAAGGATAAGCTGGAGGAGGGTTGATGGGGAGACCGGGAAGGTATTCAAGTGGAAGTGGTGATGATCCGAGGTTAGAAACCCGTATGTGGTGAGAACAGATTAGGAATTGGTGGATATTGTTGAATATCATCACTGATGCCCTAGTTAATCTCTACTTTTTATCATCACAGGTCGTGCATGTAAAACCAGTAACGACATCTGTATAATATTGTTCTCTGAAATTCAATGCAGCAGAAGCACACGGTCGAATAACACAACGAAGTACTGGTATTGTTTTTTTTACACGAGATTTTGCAGAACTTGAGTTCGTGCACGTTGTTATCACTCAGCAGAGTTGGTTAATCAAGTGTGGGATCACGTTTTCCTGTGTTCCCCTCCAGCTGAAGCTAATCATAGGCCGTGCATACAACAGGCTCCATGTGGTGTTATCTTGAACTGCGCTTCATTTGTTCTGTCTCTCCTCAGACGAGGGTTTAATATGAGTGTGCTGCTTCACTGTGGTTATGTCAGAGCTATCAGAGAGCACAAGGTCATCCAGGCAGTTTTTCCCTCCCTCCCTCAATCTCTCCGCTAGACTATTAAGCAATGTAACACGTCATTTATCTGCACATCTGACTCTGGAGTTATTTCCCTGCAGTCATCTCAGCTGCACCGTCATGGAACACAATCACCTTTCAGTGCTTCGTCTCCACATGATCGGACACGGCTCAAGCGATGCCCCACTTCCACGTTAAGCATGTAGATAAATGGAAAAAAAATGTGTCCATATTTGCTCAAAAGTCTCTGCGCTTCGTTTGACAATATCGTGATTTGTTGTGTGAATGAAAAAACAGCACGACAGCAAAGCAGAGAATCTTCAGACGTGTTTTTGGCGTCTGAGATTAGACATCAGTGCAAGGTGAGATGTGCCAGCACGGCGCCAGAAAACATTTCATTACCTGTGAGCGGCTCAGTGAGGAGTGGAGAGCCACAGTATATCATTTCCACTCGTTACCATTCATTTCCGTGTGGACCCCTGCAATTACACTGTCTTGTAATCACTGACTCAGTGTCTCTGTGCTGTTCACTCTTAAGGAACATGATATATATTTTCATTTATTACAATAGCCGTCACTTTCGTTAACGCTGAAACACTTAATTGACTTTAAACTGTGCGGCTCTTCTCCTCAATGTAAAGCTGAGGATTTTTAAGTTTTGGCCTCATTCAAATAAAAAAACATCGGATCAGGAAACGGGCAGACATCGCTTCTGATCAGTGAGATGAAAACCCTGGCAACGCCCGCAACATCAATCTTTGAAGTTAGGATCCGATTGCCGAGCAGAAGTCCTTGATGTGGATAAAGAAAATGGTGCTAATGAGCATGTGAAAAAAGGAAGTTCTCTCCTGCGTGGCCCTTGACCTCCACTTAATGAGAAAGAAATGCTCATAAACAGCGAGACGCCCTTGCTGCTTGGAAGAGTACCAGCTCATTACAAGCTATTCAGAATCTGTGTTTTTATGTTCTGGCACACAGGTTTAAAAAAAAAAGACCCATTATTCTCGATTGAAAATACTGATACAGAATACTTAGCGCTATATCAGCCTTTTAAATCCCCATATGGTGGATTTCAGATGAAAGTGGATCAGTGAATAGATAAATGGTATCACATGCACACAGCTGTCACTGAAGGTCACTTCACCCACATAGAGGAGCATACTCCAGAAATCTGACCAAACAAAACTTTAACTGCAAACACAAAATCTCAAATCTTGAATAAAGAGAATCAGAAAGCAAATAATTAACTACAAATTGAAAACATCCCTCTATTACCTCCTAAGTTACAATTCATTTTATACCATTCATAGAAACTCACAAATTGATTTACCTGACACAAAAAAAACCACAACAAAAATTAATTAACACATTTCATTGTATTTCCTCAACAGACTGGCTTTAATGAAATCTTATTTAAATCACAAAATGTATTTCTTTAGAGATTTCAGCTTCCAATCAGACTTTTGTTGGTGAAACAGAACAAAACATGTCCTTGTTACACTGCAAACTCAAGATTCAAACATCTCTCTACAGAAGAAATTGCTCCTAAGTTTCTCTTGAATTTGTTTAATGTCATTTATCAACGCTGTAACACGCACAAACAAAAACTCCACTTGCCGCCACTGTTGTGAAGCAGAAGTCCCTGCAGAGTGAAGAAATGTTGTTGGGTAATGAGCACTCATTAAAAACTATAATTTGCCAACACAAGTCAGAAGGAACCTCATTAAATGCATCAACCTGCACTCGATGCTCTTGTATCATGATGCTATATTTTCTCTGGCACATGCATCTTATATTTTCTTTATAGAATTATCACATCTGTAGCTCATTTTACAGAATACAGGCTTTAATGTGAGTCAGCTGGGACATTACAAAGAACCAGTCAGCTGTATAAATTGTGCTAAAGTAAGACATCATTTTAGCTGCATGGTTGTTATTGTAGATTGTATGTAAACCCTCTTTCCAAATGAAGCGAATGACTCATTATTTAAAATCTGCGAGTATTATTAGTGTAAACGTGATAATTTTGATGTGATGGTGAGTGAAAGTGAACAGGAAGGTGTGTAGTAGACCACAGCTCGGGGTCAGGGACAGTTTTCTGTCTGAACATGTTCTCCTCTTGTCTTCTGGGTGCATCGGCTTCCTGCCACAGTCCAAACACATGCAGATGGGTTTAATTGGAGACTCTTAATTGACTGAGTGTGAGAGGGTTGTTTGTGTCTTGGTCTTGTGATAGATTGACGACCTGTCCAGCGTGCACTCGCCTAACGTCAGCTGGGATTGGCTCCCTCCACCTTTGAAGGATAAGCGTTTTAGATCATGGATACTTGTGACCGTCCTGACATGTGCACAGTTGTTTGATGACTGATCGATATCGATGGGAAATGAACATGCAGTATCAAAACAGACCTCAGTACTTGTATTATTATTAAAATAGAAACGGCTGCATTAGATTTCTCAGTGCCCACTGTTTTTATGTGGAGTGTAAAAGAAAGAGGAAATAAAATTTTACAATCTTTAGTGTTTTTCACATTTCCTCTTTACGGCCCTGATGCAGTATTCACACTGTCAGAGTTCCAGACGACTTCTTCTCTCGTGTCCCTCAGGTCTGCAAGCTCCTCTGTCTGCTGTCTGCTTTATTGAGTAACTCCATATTCCCAGAATTCAATATCAGGGTGTGTGTTTGAGTGTCATGTCTCCAACTACAATTTCTGTTTATCTCTGTGAAAAGAGACACTAGAAGTAGGACGACAGCCTAGAGAGAAAATGATTCGGTTTCTGTTTAGAGCTAAAAGACCCTTGTTCCTGAAGGTACTTTAAATCAACTTTAAATGTGTCTCTGCAACATATCATACACAACAGATGCACAAATAACTTGTTTAAAAGAAAACACATCATATGGCTCCTTTTAAAAACTTAAAATATTCAATATGTGTGTGCTTTTCCAGGTTTTATACCATTTAATTAAAATGAAATATCAGCATTCTGATAAAACAAACAACATTTTACCCAGTTGATTAATCAGTAAATAATGAACAGGTTCATCCTTTTGTTGTTGTGGTTCATGTAACAACAAACCAAACTCATCTATTTTAGGCTGAAGGAACAATCACTTCTCTCTTTCTTCATTATTTATCTCTATTCAGCAAGTCAGTTTCAGAGGGCACGAAATTAATCAGGCATGCCGACGGACTTTTTCAGTGCAGGATAATTAGGGGAGGAGAGCTCAGAGGAACCCCGGAGTCGTGGCGTCTAACTTAAGAGTTACGGTTTAGTGTAAATGCTTCCTAATGCCCGCTGGTGCATACTCGTACCAGGGAGTGTTAACCTTCCAACAAATGAGTGTCTGACTTATTCCCTCGCTTCCTTATTGTCATGCACAGAGCTAAGCCAATGAAAAAGATCCATGGGTTGGATTGGTATTCTATCTTCCCTTCCACTTCTGGCCCTGACTGAGTCTATTTCCATTATCCTCCGCATTGATTAGCTCCAGCACGTTTCACATGGCTTAGCTGTTCGTGTAATTGAAGGGAGCATTCTGTCCCTTTGGTGCGTGCATGCATGTATTCATACCCATGTTCTCTCTGCGTCGCCACCGCCAGATGTTGCCAGAGCCATCGAGCTGCTGGAGAAGCTGCAGGAGTCGGGCGACGTCCCCGGTCACAAGCTCCAGTCTCTGAAGAAGGTGCTTCAGAGCGAGTTCTGCACGGCCATCAGAGAGGTGAGTCACCGCCCGAGGAGGGAACCACCGGTCCGTGAACACCGACATAACTCATGTCTTGTGATTCTCCTTTTTTTTTCCTGTGGGAATTTCTGACCTTGTTTTCTATACAGGAATTATATTTGTGTTTCTGTAGTGAAAGTACAGAACCCAGCAGGGACTCTTTTCTCTGGACTACCCTGGGAAATTAGTTTTTTTTATTTTCACTAACTTTGTTTCTAATTTTGCTGCATTGCATTATTTGTGAAGAAACCATCTAGAAGACACCATGAGAGCGACAGTTTGCTGCAGTTATATCGTCCTGTGTTTATGTTTATCGTGAAATCTCTACTCACCGCTGGCAGTGGAGTCGTGAGACCCAATCAGGAAGCGAGTGCACGTCATGTCTACTACAACACAACCCCCAAGTTCTCAAACAAAAACATGGCCGATGACATTTCAAAAACACCGTGGAGTGGCGTGGACGGCCGGTGTATGGTTCACTTCAGTGATGATGCAGCGAGGACAGTTGTTATTTTCATGACTTCTCCAAAGGTCAAAGACAACGCTCCCTGATGATGCTGTTGAACTTGGAGATATTACAGCAATAACTACGACATCAGAGATCGTTTGAGTCATTGTTGCGTTACATCAATCAGCAAAATGACCTCCACAGGATCAAAAATGTCAGAGTTTATTGCTCGGCCTTATTACTGCCGGAGCCGAACACCAAAACTCAGATGCACAGCGGATTTTTCCGACCGCACGTGAAACTCACAAAGAGCGTTTTTAAATGATCACGGGGCCAGAAAACATTACGAGCATTTCATTAACTTGAAAGTTTGATAAGCTCGTTACACTGAATTTTAATTAAACAAATCGCTGTTAGAGATTGGTTTTAATCACATTTTACAGGACGGGATAAAGTGTGCATCATAAACGGGAGCCCTTGTTTTTCTCCCCTCGCTGGAACGCTTTCATTCACACGCTCGCTTAACAGTCACCCGCTGATCCATCATCCTGAAGTCATTCATCAGCAGGACGGAGTACAACAGAGCGTTCACTCTATGACACTGCTACACAGGCTGATACCAGCAGATCTTACATATTTTAGTGTCCTGTCTGTTGTGATATACTTTGGCGTTGCCCGGTGTCGTGCATTAGTTAAGAAAAGAGGATCGGAGGAGCGGGGAAGCAGATGACAGATTCCACCACAGCCTCCGTGTTACAAGTTAATTGTAAACAAAGTGAACATGTAATTTATCCCAGGAATGAAAGCAGACAATTAGCCGACTTAATCAGTATGTCACAGAGACGCTCCACTTTATTTTCTAGAGGGAGTCACGTTGTAAATTAAAGGGAGAGGTTTCACTGCTGCAGAGAACGTGACATCGCCACGGTACGTTTTGTGAATCATTGATCTTGTCCCGGATTTCTGGTCCAGCTGCTGATTTATCTGGTTCATAAAGCAAAAGTTTCTGGAATCTTCTATCTGTAACTTATGTTTTATTTATTTATTTAACACAATCACAGAAGGTCTTTAGATAACTTTTACGAAACCCCTGACATCATACAAAGTGGCAGAGAGGTAGAAAGGACCACTCCTCTCCTCTCATGAGGTCCCTGTAGGGGCGACTGATCTCGGTGACAATGAGCTGCTGCTGCTGCTGCTGTCCTTTGCCTAGAGGCAGAGATGCAGACCACTTCACCCAGAAAGCTCAGTCACCAGGGAAACCATCAGAGAGGCTGTGGGTTCAGCGGGCCACAGCGAGGCTGAGTATATTGCGGTCGATTATGGGTTTGTGTGCCGCTCTCTGCGGTGCTGAGCCAGCTGCAAGAAGGGGCTGTAAGTGCTGGCCACTGCATACTGTATAATATTACTGTTATTACGCTGTGGTGGAATATCACAGCTCTCAAGAGCTGCGCCCTCCGATGTTCTGTCTGCATCAGGAACAATTACGAGACGGACTCGAGAGGGAGAGCGGCAGTTTGCAGGATTTATGGCCTGATATTGCACAAGTCTTCTGTGTTTGTTTGTGACTAAGGAACGTTTTGTTGACTTTGCTATTAGACTACGTGTTCATCGCACTCATGCACAAACACATGTTTCACTGTTAAAGAGCCACAGTGGTGGCCAACATTTTACTTCAGGCTTCGCTGGAAAGACTCGGACTCTGACCCCTCCGGATATATTCAGGAGAATATTGAGATGTCTGAAAACAGGACTCAATTCTTTTCTTCTTCCTTTTTAATTGAATACTTTTGACTTCACGACTCACGTCTCGCTCCTGTGCATCGTCCATCAGTGTTAAGTTGTTAAAACAGCCACTGAGCACAAGTTGAACTGTAAATTCAGTCGTTGGTCATTTGGTCAAACTCACTTCTTTGGACTTTCATTAATGTGGGAGTCCTTTCTTTCTCGTGCAGATATCTCTGAAATGACGCCGTCCTCTTCATGATGTAAAACATTTCAGGGTCTGAAAAGACAAACATAGCACAAGAAGCAGACCGTACGTCCAGCTCCAAACCTGAATCCACCACTTCACGTCAATAGAATTCTGCGAACATGAATCAGCCTTGTTAGGGATGACAGGCTGGCTGTCAATATGAAGAATGGACGTCAGGGGAAAGAGCCTGTTCAGCAGTGCTGGGCTAAATGACAAAGGGACAGAGTTTGATGAGCTGGTTATATTTCTCCGCCACGTTCATCAGCGGCGAGAGTGGGAGGGTGGGAGAATCCTGCGTGTCCGTGTTAGTCTCACTGCATCAGCCTGAAAGAGTTGTCAGGGTCAATCAGCCTTGCAAATGGGAAAGGAAGGACACAAGACGAGATGACTGGAAGGTCTAACCAGCTGGAAATGATGGAGAGTGGGAATTCGCAGTATATTGGGTTAGAGAGTCCCATCTGACACGCGCAGGAGGTACAGCGCAAAAGAGAGCCGGAGTGATCGAGGCTCTAATGTTACAGCTGTTTTTACGCTTCGGTGGAGATTTTCAATAATAGACTGTTCTATCAAAGCAACATTCCGTCCTCAAGCTCCCACGTCACATTACGCTAACCGTGGGGAGGTGCTTCAAGTCGGCCCGTGCAACTTCAATATTCCCACATGCATTGTCGAGTTCTGGTTTTCCAAAAAAACATCAACCACGAGGCTGAGGTCTCTCTTTACCCTCCCCCCTTCTCCTCCGTCTCTCTGACTCAGTAGACGGAGCAGGAAGCCGAAGTTGCGAGCAGCATTGTCACGTCAGTCCTCCCCACGAGCATCTCACGCTCTCTCTTGTCTCAGTCGTCACTGTGATACAAACAATTTCTGCGTAGTGTGAAGAGGAGAATTTTAAAGCTGCACCACTACATACTTTTTACATTAAAAATTCCTGTTTCCTTTTCACCAGGGAACGACAGTCGGGTCGTCTGGCTACAAGAAAGGCGGAAGGGGAATTTAAAAAGATGCCTGCAGGTCAAGTGGCCTTTTAAGAGCAAAGTGCAGCCTCGATGAGAGAAGACTGACAAGAGCTATATTTGTTCCATGTTATGGCTCCGTTATTCAGGGCAAAGCACTCGGGTTAAACATGAGGAGCGATACTGTATTAAATGTTGTATAACACGGCCTTCTTTTGAGCACCATGATACATTTCTGAGTCAATAATACTTTCTTGTGCACAAAGAAAATGTTTATGTCTGACTAGAATGGCACTCAATCGTGTTCTCGCGTCAAAAAGAATCGGCCTCTTTGTCCGTTTGCGTGCCAACATTTAATGGGTTCTTTCTTTGGCACCCTTCCACCAAGTTGACCCTTTCAGTAGTTCTTGCTTAATCCTTTTGACAAACAAACCAATCTGAATTATTTCCAGGGAAATTCCTCAATCTCTTCTTTCTTGGCCCAAGTTCTATTTGTTTGATTGTGGGGTTTTACATTATATATTATATACATTGCATTTGTTTATAATAAAGTTTAAACTGTAAACTGCCACCTGCCAAGACCCAACAGTCTGAAGGTAAATACGATTTCTGTATCCTAAGGGCTTGATAATGATATGTTAGAAATCATTGCATCAAGGTCAATTTCTTATTTTACAGTCAATTCAATCTAAAATATATTTCTCCTTAAAAAATGGGATCAGGCTCTATATTGTATTAATAAATGAAACTAAATTGCTCAGGGATGCTCAATCACTTGTAAAACAATGGCCTCCCTTTTCTCTTGATGGTCATTCATTAAGCCGTCAGCTGCCAAAAAACCCATCACTCACACACACTGAAGATGTTCTTCTTCCCTGGAATGATTGTTTTCCAACGCAGCGCAACGCAGTTATTTTCCCTCTATTACCAGATGCCAAATATCAGATGAGCACTGCAGCTCTATGTATGACACTCCTGTCATGTCTGGAGAAAAAACAATTACCAGACATTTGCATAACACAGACCGATGTGTGATGGCCCGTAATTGCTTTTGTGAGCATTGTTTTTACAGATGAAGCATTGTTATAGATCACATGTGTGTAAATGTGGCGCCAGTTGCAGGATAAATGGGTGTAATTAGCAGTTGCAGTCATAAAGGGGTAACTGAGGGAAAAGGAAACCACTCTGCAGACACACAGAGGCAAGGAAACCTGTCATGGCATTAAAGAGCTGCGCTCAGCCTCGAGGAGTGCAGAGGTGGAGGAAGTCCTGGGGAAAAGGTGTCATGTGGGAATTCAGTGTGTTTGCGTTTGTGTGTGGACTCCAGGTTTTCTTTTATCCACAAGCATCACTGCAATAAATTTTACAAAAATGTGTTGCAGTCTGCATCGGGGAGCCGCGCTCTCAGAGGCTGCTCATTTTTATTCTTTGAGATTCATGAGCAAGCAACATAGCATAAGCTCGGGGATATTTCTTTCTACCCACACTGAGATCTCTACATACAAATATCTTGGGGTCTGGAACCTATCTCTCTATATATATATAGATTCTTTTGACGTTACAGGCGAGGGCTTTGTAATGTTGTACTGTGATATATGAAAGCTTCAAATTCAAATTTGACTTGCTCACTTGCTAAATGAACTTAAACGGCCACCGTTTAAAGCATTGGAGGGGCGATGCACAAGTTGCACAAGCAACTATAGAGAAACTTTATCTACAATAATCGTCCTGCCGTTGTTTTACAATGATAAAAAGGGGGGGTTGCATATCTGACATTTAAAAGTCTAACAGCTGCAGAACAGATGGCTTCAAGTGCTCGCATAGAAAAGTTTTGTTGTCATTACAGTATCTTAACTTTACATCCTCATTCCACTCTGTCTCTGTCTTCTTCTTCTCTTTTATTCTTTGAACGAGTTCGGTGGTAAGTGGTCTTCACAAGACATGTCTTAACTGGAAAGGTCAGCTGTCGGCATTGATTCTGTCTGCCTTGTTTTTCACCCAACTGGATGTACAGCAGTGCATGTCTGGGCTCCAGTTCAGGCACCACAGTATTGTATTTCTGCCTGTCCTGACTCTCTGTGCTGCTTATGAAGTCAGGACCAGAGTGTGCCTCAGTCTCCGGAGCTCAAGACTCTTCTTTAGTGTGGGAGCACAAACGTAAAATAACTCAAGGACCGAGTCTGATGTGTTCTCCATCAGTTGCCTTGTCAAGGATGTTTATACCCCTCCCCATTTGTTGGTGATGCAAAACAGATTGACCACTGAACAGATTTCCTCGACTGTCGGTGGATGGTTGAGTTAAGATGTAGGACATTCTCTCTGAGGTTATGTTTTTTTTTCAGCTGCTGTACAAGATAGGGCGAGAAATCTGGAACAACCACAAATGTGTAGCCGAGTTAATGTTTATTCAATTTAAGGGGGAAGTTGGGCCTTGGCGGTGGAACTAGTTTGAAATTGACAGTTTGAGCTCAGGTGGTGGTTTCAGATTTCAACAAAGTGAAAAATTATTAAAACAACTGCCTCTCTTCATTTCTCTCAGGTGTACCAGTACATGCATGAAACAATCACAGTGAATGGCTGTCCAGAGTACCAGGCGAGGGCCACAGCTAAGGTAAGAACTGTCTCTTTTCTCAGAAGCTAGTTCATATGTGTTCATGGAAATTATTGATCCTTTTCCTGTGCTTTAGCGAAACACGCTGTTGTAGGCTAACAAGGTCAGCACTGTCATTTCCAGGGGTTGAAAGTATAGAATTAAATGCGCTAATCTAATTTCCGTGTGCAAAAGAGACGAGCTTTACCCGGCAGGACATTTAATCAGTGCCTGCAAGAGACTACAGGTCTTTATGATCTGATGCTTTCATGTGAAGAGGACAAAGAGGAGGATGTGCATGATGACAGCACCTCTCGGCCCTTTAGCGGCTTCAAATCATGACCAGCTCTTCTCTCTGCTGCCGGCTCCACCGACAGTCTTTATGCTAATGCTGCAAAACTGGTGAATTGCAATTCAACACCTGGTTGATAAACATACTTGATAAACCTCCTTGCTTGGAGGGAATCGCTGGGACGATCGCTGCCTGCATCTTTGCATTGATGCAGCAAAAGTCAGGAGATGATTTGCTTGATTTGATATAATATGTAAATATAACAATAAATCTCGTTAAGTGCATGGTATTCTCAAATATGTCGCTCCTTTGAACAGAGTGCACAAAATCTTAGCCTGAAAAATCCAGAAAGAACATTTTATTGATCTTTCATTTGTTACTACATTTGGAATGTCTCCTTTTTTCATCAAGTAGGTTCCATTGTCTAATCTGGTAGAAAAAAAAAATCTTTATTTATGACTAAAGTCGAGTAATTTCCCTCCGCAAAGACACTGTGACTAAGCCCGGAGCAACCATGAAGACATGATTTAGGCAGCTTTAAAACTCTCCTCTACTTTCTCTTTCTTTGCACCAAACTTTGAGAAGTTTCTGCTCCTAAATCTGTATTAAAATTGCATATCCACCGGGAAATTAAGCACACGGCTAATGGCCTGAGCTGGCTTAGCCGTGGGGGCCTCTCTCAGCTGGGAGGACCCGGTCTGTTCAAAAAGTTTTTACTCTCCTAAGAGAAATTCATGAAGCCAAGTCACGGTGCCAGTTTCATTTAATCACATGTGAAAGGAAAAGAGGTGTGTGTACAGTAGCAACGATATTGAAAATGAAGCAGCAGCAGCAACAATGATGAAATATGTGAAATATGTGACGCTGCCTCTGTCCGAGTGTTTAGTTCATGAGACGGCAAATCTCTTTACGATCAGGATTTGTGTTTCACCTGAACAACTCGATTCTCCTTGATTGCTCCATTAATGAAATTAATTCAGCCTCTGAGTCCTGGCCTGAGGCTTCTAACGCTGATCTTAATAGAGACATGGAGTATCAGGGCCATGTGGGAGGGGGGGGGGGGGGGGGGGGGGGGGGGGAGCAGATGATCAAATGACTGTGAAGTCATATTTATACAGTGTGGCGTGTCTGACCAGGGAAGTATCTCATAGTGAGGTTTTCATAAGACGGGAGGCGCCGGGCCATCTGCCAGCTTGTGTTTCTATTCGCAGAATCCAAGATAAAGTTGTGAAGGTCGATGTGCCGTGAGGCCGGGGGAGGCGACGGCGTGCATGCTGAGGAGCTGCCTCCGGGCCTCACGGTGGGACGAGGAGGGAGGGAAGAGGAGAGGGGACAGAGAGCCGATGGGAAAAGGAGGAGACACAACACAACAAAACAAAGAGTCGGAGAGGAGATACAGATGAGCAGATCTGGCTGAAATGAATGTGGATATATGAATATGGAGGAGAGATGCCGCCTGCAGCGAGCATCAAAGGACTGAAAGTGCCAAGATACTCAACTGCTCCTGGGGAGTTTGGATTCACAACTCCAGCAGAGCCTCCCTCTCCTCTGCTTTTTCCTCCTCCCTAAATGTTTTCAATCAGCGTTTACTCAGCGTGTGTGTTAATCCCTGCGCTTAGAAATACAGAGAACTTCTCATGTGAAGTCTAAATCCGAAATCCCTCCGTTGTGGTCCTCTCTGCTGAAATAAGAAGAAGCAGCAGATGAGTGAAACCTGCCTTCCTCAGACTCGCCTCTGAGGAAAAACATGTTGTTCTTTGGCTTCTGTAAAATCAAAGATGTTCAAAGCATCTTAAAGAGTAAAATGTTGTGCATACTCAAATTCCCAATGTGTAGAAATGTAGTAGGAGTTACTGATGAGATGATGATATCTCATCGTTCCTCTTTTTCAGGCCACGGTCGCAGCCTTCGCAGCCAGCGAGGGTCACTCCCACCCACGGGTGGTGGAGCTCCCCAAGACGGAGGAGGGGCTGGGCTTCAACGTGATGGGAGGCAAAGAACAGAACTCGCCCATCTACATCTCCCGCATCATTCCAGGAGGCGTGGCAGAGAGACACGGCGGCCTGAAGCGAGGGGACCAGCTTCTGTCCGTCAACGGCGTGGTAAGTTCAACCAGACTCACGTTTTGATTCAGGGCACAGGGAGAGGGGCTCGACATACAGATTAAATACTAGATAAACATCTCACCAGATAATAAAATGGAGTCAATATTATTTTTTAACGAATACTCAAATCAGCTTCTCCTCCCTCTCTCCGAACCCCCCCCCTGCAGAGCGTGGAGGGCGAGCATCACGAGAAAGCGGTGGAGCTGCTGAAGGCGGCCAAGGACAGCGTGAAGCTCGTGGTCCGCTACACGCCCAAAGTGCTGGAGGAGATGGAGGCGCGCTTCGAGAAGCTGCGCACGGCCCGGCGGCGCCAGCAGCAGCAGCTCCTCATGCAGCAGCAGCAGCAGCAGAACCTGGCGTCTCAGCAGAACCACATGTCGTAGGTGAGGCGCTTCATTGCTTTAAGCGTAAAGGATGGGGAGGGGGTGATGGAGGACATACAACATGTTCTCCTTTATGGCGTCATAAAATAAATTCATACAGATCCATGCAGCATTGTCTAGAGAGGCAACTCTAGAGATGTTTACTATTCATCTGGCCGATGAATTAGTATGAAGATGAATTTATATACGTTTACAGTTTTCGGAGAACTCTTGATAAGGAACCTAACATTGGAGCGTTAGCTTCTAAAGTCCCTGGGAAACTCTGCTCTGGTGCTTTATTTCATCACACAGTCTCAGTCTGGGTGAACGACTGAGGTCAAATCGAGATGAGCACAGATTATCTTTGAGCTTCAGCATGAGCTTTATATTGTTTTTGCTCTGGATTAGAGGTGTCTGCTATTTTAGGACTCAGACGTTATAAAACAAAATCAGAGGAGCACATACTCACACGCAGTTTTACCTTTTTATCATTTCCCTTATGAGCACGTGCTCCGCCTCAGGCTTGAAACCTTCAGCCAGAAAATCCTGAAGCAGAATTTTTAGCATCATCAGTAAACCTACTTCTAATCTCCTGCATTTATTCCAAGATTTACTAACTCAGATGCTCAAAATCATTAATTATGGAGCATTTTATGACTTTGTTTTTTCAAGTGTGTAATTATAAATACTGTTTACTTGAGTTTTCAGTAGCTGAAGCCAGGGAACATAGAAGGAGATCTGCTCGTGTACGTCCTGGTATGAAGCCTGAAACCTCAGTGGTATATTTAGCAACCTGCAGCAGCAGCTGGTAACCTCTGTGAACACATCAGCGCTTCAGCTTTGTTCTGCCAGTGATTCTGTTGTAAGGGCAGTAAATTATTAAAACCTAAAACCGATTACATCTGCGGCTCGTGCTTCGCAGGTATGTGGATAAGTAGATACAGCCTGCAGGGTCGTTTCTTGGTACAGCTACAGCCGAATGGATCAGCTGCACACCTGCCCCAGACTGTTTTTACAATTTTGACTCCAAATTTAGACCAAAGCTCTGCGCTGCCACTCAAACTGAAGCAAACTGAGGGGAAAAAACAAGCAACTTTTCAGACCACGAAGTGAAATCACATCATTATTCGTCTAATTCTTCTCAGACTTATCAAATTATTACGTCTCCCCGGCGTATTTGGAGGCGGGTGTGTGTCCAAGTTCTCCTTGGCTCTGCCTGTTTGATGCTAAATCCCCCCAAGCGTCTCTCTTGTCTTGCTCTTGGCACCGAGCAGCTTTGGAAGGTATTTGGGAGCTTGTAACTGTGTGTTGCGGTGGAGCCACAGACAGGGAACCGAGCAGGGATCGTGTTTTATCAATGCCGACACTCCGATCGCAGAGATTTGCTTTGGCAGCAGAGAGTATTAAGCTTTTCTGTCTGTGTCTTTTCCTCTCTCTCTCTCTCTCACAGACACACACACACACACACACACATTTTTATAGAAGCTAGTCGTGGTCAAATAACAGAGAGATGTTTTAAATATATGATATAATATTTCCAGGTCATATATGGATGGATGGATGGATGGATAGATAGAAGAACAGATGAGCTTTAACAGAATCACTCTCAGCTTGTTTCTCTTTTTATTTTCTGCACGCAGGGTGTTCCAAAAGAAGAAGAAGGAGTGAACAGGGGGGAGAGCGGAAAGGTGCATCTCAGAGACCATCTGTTTGTGTTGAAGATCCCAAAGGAAAAACTAACAAGTGAAAGACTCTTTTACTTCCTCTCACTCTCTATCTCTTCTCTCTATCTCCCTCTATCTCTCTCTCTCTCTGTGGCTTCCAGCGTTCCACCGATAACCGAGAAAAAAAACCAGAGAGCCGTGACACACGTCCTGAAACTGGTGCTTCGAGGGAGGCGAGCGCTGAACGTCGTCCGGTTTAACTTTGTATTCCCTCTAATAAGCTGTTTCCCTCTGATCTGGTTGTGGCTCTGAAACTGAAACTCCCTTTTCTCTTGTGTTTGTCGGTTTGTTTATTTTTTGATCGCTCTCGGACGTTACACCGTCTCTCGACATCGATATCATTTGTACAGTGGATGTTTCTATTGATTCTTCAATTGGTGCTTGTGTCTCTGTATGAATGACCATTGATTATTGATTTCTCTATTTCTTTGTCCTGTTTTGGATGAACCTGAACTTTTCTACCTTCCGAACTGTAGCAAGAAAACGTTTTTTTTTTAATTTTATTTGTAATCTGGTAGATTTAGCAATAACAGAGATTATTTTCAGTTTCGCATTTTAACACTGACTTCATCGCCTCATTCATACAGACGGTAGATACAGAAGTTGTGTCTCAATTCAGGGGCTGCATCCTCTGGAGGCTCCTTCAAACGCGTCCTTCCAAGTCCCAGAGAAACAAATGCTCCAGCCAGCGGATCCTTCTTGGCCCAACCTGTCCCAGGATTCATTGCACTTGGGTTATAACCATTTTTCAAAGGCGTAATGGCGCCAGCAAGCACAGAATCGTCCGATGCTTCAACTCAACCGTGCAGCTAACGGTCCACATAATAAAAAAAAAAAACCAAGGGGCATTAAAACGTTCTCGTCATGTCCAACTTTAACTCTGTTGCCAGGTAACAGCAATAAGGGACAAGAGCATCTCACTTTGGTTCGGCCTCCGTGAAGACTGCCTCGTTCTGAAGGATGCAGCTGAACTGAGACACAGAGTCCACGGGACGGGTGCAAAAATACAAGCGAACTGGGTCTAACGCACCGAACGGCAGCTTCTGAGTCCAAATCTGTGCCATTTAAAGAGATTATTGATGTACAGGAGGCAAAACATGTGCAATAATTATTATTATTATTATAATGGCTACTCCCAGATGAGATTTATCCAGAAAAAGAATAAATATAAGCCTGATCCGAAATATTATTCATGTCCTGCAAACTGATTCAGCAGTTTCATTAGAATGAAACCAGAATAATGTTTATTTTTCAGACGCTTCTATTGAATAGTTTATGAGATGAGAGATTTTAACACAAAGTTTTATTGTTCCTTTAGAATATTACGTGTTCGATTATTTTATTAGTTGTATAACAGCAGATCCAGTAGTTTCTGTTCTGACGATCATAGTGAACTATACGACGAGACTGTGTAGAACCTTCTTCTTTTCTTTTTCTCGTCTCAACCTGTTTCTCAACCTCCAGAGTCAAAGTGGTGAATCCACCAGGTCTGTGTTTACTTCTCCATTTTCTTCCTCCCAGAAACTTCACTTCTCTGTTGATGCTTGTGTTTCTCACACTGTCCCGTGTTTTTTCTTTCTTTTGTTTTGCCAAATCATGCAGACTCTAACCCTGAGGCTGTTTTCTCTTTATCCAGAGCAAATACAAAACACAAAGCACATAATTTCTTGTTTATGCCGGGGGACTTTTATGTTTTTCCTTTGCAGAATGAAAAATTGCAGATTATTTCTTTGGTATCATGGATTTATTGATCTAATGTTAAGGATTCATTCTATCACGTGCCACACGTTTCCTAAATAACCTGTTTAGCGTTAAGGTCGCTCAGCGCCAAAGCTTTTTTCGTGTTCGGTGACATTAAGGTTTCAGGTTTTATGGGAAATTCAAAAGTTTTTGTTCAAGCAGAACATCTGAATACGACAGATCCCTTTTTGTATCTTTCAATCACAGGTACTTTTCTTAATTGACTTGCATTTTTGAAGCTGATGGTCCTGTACTTAACGTAAAGATAAAAAAAAGACAACACAACTGTTGATATGCAATTGTTATACATACTATATTTGTATAAATAAATCTATGTGCTTGTGTACAGTGACCATGTGTCCGCGCTTCCTTTAAATCTCTGATGGTCTCACCATCTACATTATCAGCGTGACATCCAGAGGTCGGCGGTTCGATCCCTGTCCCCCCAGCTCTGCATGCCAAAACACTACTAACACAATATTGTATGATAAATAAATCATTGAGACCGCTTCGATTTTTCTTTTATATTTCCACAATAAGAACGAGACAATAATGTGAAGGATGGTTCGGCCTTGGTGGAGGTATGAGCTCAGAAAAATAAAGGGAAAATGCTCCGTGGCCTCCGCCAGTTCACACGTGTTAGTATAAATGTCTGATTATTTCATAAAGATCTCTGAGAAAAAAATTACATAATAACATTGAGTCACTGATGATCGTTCTGTTTTCATCATGCAGCGTCTGGAGGTCGAGTGATTGAATGTCGTCAGTGGCCTTTTGTCAGCTCAGAACAAACCAGTCTCTGAAACTAACAACGAGACTCCTTTAAAACGTACGACACTAAACTCTGCTGCTGACGGCAGAAGTTGTTTTTCTTTAGCTGCAGTAAAACGTCTCCTCCGCCTCATCACCTCTCGATGAGCAGAGGCTGAAGTGACAAAGCTGAGGAGCGAAGGTGACGTCGCTGCAGGTGACAAATCCCTCACCGGGGTTTTAATCAGGAGAGGCTGAACGTGACGCCTCCTCCAGGATCACAAGCTGAAACTGTTCATCTTTCACTCTGACAAAAGGCAGAAGCTCTGAATCCTTCAACCTGAGGCACAGATGATAGAAAAATACAAATGCTCTCATTTGTTTTTGTTTTTAAGCTGGAGCTGAATGACGAGATCACTTTAAATTCAGCCTGAACAAAAACAAAGATATTCTCCTCATGATGTTTTAATTTGAATAAAGGTTTAAAAAACATAAAGTTAGGAACTTGGTTATCCATTACACACGACTGAGTTATTCAGATGCCTTATTAAACCTCTCACATTTGGTCTTAAGACTTTAAATATAGTTCGTAGGTTTCTCAGTGTGGGATAAGTTAATATCTTTACGTCCCAACGTTTCTCTCAAGATGCTGGAGCATTTTAAAACGACGGCAGCAAAAGAAACCTCTGACTCCACTCATTCTCGTGTAAATCATCAAAGAATCAGCTGATTTCATCGACTTGTTCAGAATTGACTGAGGTTTAGATTCACCCGGTTTTATTTCATGTTCCTGCAGCTTCTCGCTCCACATCACTCGTGCTGCCTGAGGCCACAGTCGACTCTCCACAGAGTTATACCCAGTGTTCTCCTCAAATCTGAGAACTTTGGTGAATCCCTGTATCTTCAGTAGATGCGATGTAATAATAGTGATGATTTAACTTGTCAAAAAACAGAAGATAGGCCTCAGGGGTGAGACGATTAAAGTCCAAACATGGAGGCTAACGTGACTAGTTAGGCGATAATGTGGGAAACAGAAGAAACACCTCTGTCTTGTGGTTTAAACTGGTACTACAGTAATGGCTGGGCAAGGGGTGAGGGGTGTGACTCCAGGCTGCCACAGAGTTCTTTTATAAATCACTTCAAGATTTTAATACAAAATTATAAAGGTTTAATAACCAAATGTAAATTTTCAAACTCGTTTATTTTAATTGAATTATTTGTTATTATTATCATTAGTATTATTATTGTATAGCACCTTTCAAACTAATTAACAACATGAGAACATGTTCAACACATTGAGAAATCAGGAACTAATGCAGACTGAAGCAATCCATGATAGAAGCAACATCAACAGCAGGAAGTGAAGATACAACATATTTATTATGAGCACAAAAAGTTTTAGGAATAAAATGAATAATAAAATATTATGAATTTGGATTTAAAATTATACATTTTGAAAATATCTATATTTTCATCTCGTCTCTGATCCTCTGGAAGTAACGTCACCAGATGTTTTGATTCTTTGTTGAGCAGCTAAAAAGAAAAAAATCACTGTTTAGATGTGAAAGAATAAACTTTTCTTCTAAAATGTGGTGAAGCAGAAATATGAATTATCATAAAATATAAATATCTGTGAAGTGAAGTGCAAGTATTAGTTAATATGTATTATGGCGACAGTAAGAAAATTATATTTTCATGAGATGTAATGTTTAAAATACAAATGGACGAGGAGACACTGTTGTCATCATGGCACATTAGAGGAAGTACAACAGAGCATGATGGGGAATATAATCATAAAAACAATAACCATTAAAGAAACACACATTTTCTCTGCATGTGTTGTGATTCAAATAAAAAAATGTTGCCTCTCAACAGAAAAATACATGTGACCGACATCCTGATCAAAGAAAGTACAACAGATGTGTGTGTGTGTGTGTGTGTGTCCTCGTCCCTCACCGTCACACTATAAGTACAATTAGAGGCCATTTGTTCTCAGCTCCGGTGCTGATGGTGTAATCAGTGTGTTAATGATGACTCACATTTGGCTGCGGAGAACAAACAGGTACCCCACCCCCCCCACCCCACCCCCACTCCGCACAGAGAAGAGAGATGGATAGAAAGTGGATTCTCTTTATTTGGAACCTCAATGCATCATTTTTATTTTTGCACACGATTTTAATTTTCTCTGCTTTGGTGAAGAAATATAAATTTTTTCTTTTCGGGACAAAATGCTTTTTCATCGCTGCAATGACTCAGCAAGCTCCGTGACTGATTGATTATATATGATTAATGTTATCCGGTGACCTCCATCAGTTTCTGATGTGATCTCCACATCTTATGAGCTGCATGGAGACGGTCCAGACGGTCCAGACTGTCCAGCGACGGCCGTTTAGTCACGTAATACCTAGTTTGCATTGATTATTATGCAAATGCTCAGGAATCTGCAAACTTTAAAGATTAATGAAGCTGTTGTATTATCTCACAATCCGTTGTAACTATAATTAATCAGTGTTATAATGATGTTTTGACCATTGGATGATGTGTTATTTTGTCTGTGAAGCTCATTTTGATGAATAGAGGTTGTTAGGGTTCTTTAAAACTAAGGAAATTGCTTAGTCACATGGTTTCGGTGTGTCATGTTTTTGGTAGTTTGGATTTATGAACACGGCCTCCATTAATTTTTCATTATTTTAGCTAATTCCAATGGATAATTAACGAGATGCAGCAGCATCACATGGAAACAGGAGAAGAAGAAGAACACAACAAGCTCAAATCTTAATACATAACAGTGGAAGATTTATTGTTCACAACAATTTGAAAAGTAAGAAACACTGCATAAATACCACTTAATGTTGGGAATAATGAAACATCACATGAACTGACATTATTAAATATGTCTCACTGGGTATAACAGTATAGAATAAATGGGCATTTACATTATTTACAGTCTCATGTACAATATAAAAGCTTCTGGCCACAGGTCCTCCGCCTCTGCTCCTTCACATTCACACAAAACTCTTTCTTATGGCGTCTGTCTGTTTTGGTGAAGGCACACAGCGACGGCCTGTGGTGACATATCCATATTTCACAGGACGTGGTAAACAGGCCTGGCTCCGGGGCTCTCCGGCGTGCAGGGCTGCGAGTCGGTGCTGCCGGGGGAGAAGGTGGCCATGTCTCTCAGGGCGGCCGGCCCGCAGCTTGACTCCACCGAGGAGAGGCGGTCCACGATGCTGGAGAGACACTGGAGACTGGAGGCTCCGATGGCTTTATCGCTGTCTGATAAGACGAAGGGAGGGTCGGGATCAGTACAAGGACATTCTCAGATGTTTAAAATTTTTTATATTTTTCTTATTAAAATCCAGGCAACATGCAAGACATCAAACATTTAATTCTAAAACACAGAATTCCTCTCAGGCTGCGAAAGGTCTCACCGTTCTTTGCATATGAATAGCTGCTGCTGTAGTTTGCATTCAACTGGTGCCACACTGGACTGTTGCTGTCGGCCTGTACGAGGAAAAAAGCGGAATGTGAGAAAATGACAACTTCACCCTCGATTCCTTGMAAAAAAAAAAAAGTTACACAGACAGATTCGATGTGTCGTGGTTGCATAAACACACATGGGACGGGAAGAGGCGGGAAAAAAAAGTGCAAAAAAAAAACAACAACCAATGCCCTTCACGATATCCAGACAGGCTAATAAATCCTGAATTCCAAAGTTATGGGCTTCTTCATTTCACGTACACCTTAAAGCCAAAGTGGCAGCGAGCGCCCCCCTCCCCCTCCTGCGCGGGCTCGGAGCATGGCGAATCGATTGTATCAGTGGAAGCAACACCAGTTTGTGCAAGATGACACTTTCTCCCAGTAAATCTGCAGAAAATCCTGGCAGCGGCGCAGAACATGCAGGCAGGATGGAATGCAGAAAAGTACCCTCTTTTTCCTGCCAGACTTCAGTACGGTGGATTTGGCTCGGTTTATTAGAGCTATAAAGTGTCCGGTTGTGGGAAAGCTATTACTCCATCCAGCATTTACTGATGCACGGTCACCTTCAGTCGGCCGCAGAGGGAAAACCAACCCAATCTAAGCTGTGATGATAAGCATCAGAGCAGAGAAACATGTAAGACCACAGAATAGTTGTTTGTATTGAGGAATAACGGGAGAGGAGGTAATTTAAGGTCTTTGGGCAAAACCAACTTATTTGATCGACATGTTTTTTAAATTGTAAATCCAGGTTTTACTTTGAAATAGAATATTCTACATGTTAATACGACAGTAAAGACTTAAATTCAAACATTTCCTCACAAACAAAGGTCTTTTGGGGTAAAGACAAAGTCCTGTCTCACATGCGGGAGGTCTCGTTTCTCTGATGGACATGTTTTTGGGTTCGCAGCCACAACAAGACTCAACCAGATGTTAGTTGAAGCTGTGGATGAGAGGTCTTACCATGCCGTCAGAGCAGCTGGAGAGCGGACTCCCAGGCTCCGAGCTGCTCTCTCCAGGCAGACCGTAGTAGTTTTCCACCTGCTCTCGCAGCAGCTCCTGCAGGCTCTCGATGTAGTGGATGGCGTTGCGCAGGATCTCCACTTTGGGCAGGCGCTGGCTGGGGTTCGCCGAGGTGCAGCGGCGCAGCGCCTCAAAAGCATGGTTGACCTTCTTCAGCCTCCGGCGCTCACGCATGGTGGCGGCCCGTCTGCGGTCCACGAAGCTGGACTTGCGCTTGCAGGCCTTGCAGGCCCACTGGAGGCAGTGTCCCGGCTGGTGAGGCGAGGATCCGGGGACCCTGACGTGCTCGTCCTCATCTGAGCCGGCGAGCTCCATGCCGGGGCCGAACTCCAGGCTGTCTGGAGAGGAAGCACACGCTCTGTCGTAGTAGACCTGGGAGGGTGAGAAGACGTCCATGGCTTGTTGAAGAAAGGAGTTTCAACGGATGGAGTGATGGGCGCAAAAGAAGCAAGAAGGCTAGAGGAGTGGGGTGAGAGAGAGGAGACCTCTGAGTGATATGAGGGGTCTGTTGCCCCGGGGCCCCCCTTATATGCCCCCAGGCCACAGCCAAGGGCCCACATTGGCCAGATCTAATTACCATGGCCCATTGGCCCAGCCAGAAGGCAGGCTGGAGTTAGCTCAACTCCCTCCCTGCCCCATCCCAAACCGCTGCCTCTCACCCCCCAGTACCCTGCAGAGTTTCCCACATCTGCACTTACTGGTGTTTTCCCACTCATCACCACCCTCTCCTCCCAACAGCCCTCGACCTGCAGGGCCACGATGAACACAATGCATGGGAACGTTTCAGGACTTTTGCAGCTAGCAACACAACATGACCTTTTCTCTAACAGTCATAATAAGCGCTTCATTTCTTTGCCTGATTTATCTGTAACCGGCCTGCGGGCGTCATGTCACGGGGGCCGACAGTGAAAGTGACAATTTGCCATGAAGATATAAATATTAAAGATCGTGTTTTGTTTGGTCAAACAGTGCAGAACAAGAGGGTGACCACTCACAGTGAGCGTGAGGGGCAATTTTTACGGTGGAGACAACAGCGTTGCAGATGCAGCCCAGCTGCAAAGGAAGGTGTAACATTTCAAGCCCAGTGAATTCACATTACAGCGGCAAGGACACCCCCACCCGCTCAAACACCTCCAGCTCGTCACTGAAGGTGCTGCGTGAATGAGGCCATCCATGTTTGCCAAAGCTCATTAAAACAGCAATTACACAACTGACACCGCCGCGCAATCCCCTCCGACCATTCGCCTCCGACGGACAAATTTTAACCATTAAATGTTATTGACACAAGTTGAGTGCTTCAATTCAAACAGATGGTCGTTACAGTGCAGTCGTTTTGATTCAGGTGGGGGTCTGGGGGGGGGGGTTAGACATTAAGATGAATTTAATGCTGTTTAATCTATCTATCTATCTATATGTGTGTCTTTATCTATATATCTGTCTATCTGTCTGTCTATCTATCTATCTATCTAATACATGAAAATGTTTTTTAAACACAAATTCCATCACTGCCTTTTTTGCAGTAAAGTAAAAACAACCTGTATTTTTACAGTGCACATCAAATTGACTGATTTCTTTTCTCTATTTGCTCAGTTTTATTCCTGAAACCTGATGAACACGGAGACATTATAAACTGCACTGGGGTTGAATTGAGTCTCTGTACGAGGACTTGATTTCCTGCAGCAGGTCATCATACAGAATGTTGTTTTTGTTTTAGGGGGTGATTGTGTCGCTGACAGCTTCCACGGATACAATGCGGATATTTCTCACAATGTGTCAAAACGTTTGGCGACCCCCTCCTCATCTCTCTGTGCGCACCTAAGAAAACACGCGTCTACCTGCTGCCCCTGAATTGCTCTGGGAGTTCGGATTAGGGCACAGCTGAAGAACGCATCGCTGTGTGGCCGCTGCGATGATCAAAGGCTGTTTGTGGCTGAGAAACAACCGCGATGAGAAAACCCGCGGCGGCCGACGGAGACTGGAGGCTCCGCTGTTTGCGTTGCGTGGCGCAGCCTTTACGCACAGGCCCCAGAGCGCATGTGATCCGTCCGCGCCGTGCGCTCTGGCCTCGGGTCTCCTGGGAACCGGCTGAGTTTGCTTTGGTGTTGTTCTCAAGGGTCAGAGACGGAGTTAAGTGAAGGGCAGGAGGTTATGCTTTATGTCCACGTCCCGCACGTCTGAAAACCTTAATTCTTCCAAAGTGCCTCGTGCTTTGACCCAATACTCTGCTTGTTTAATGCAACACCAGGCTCCTGACAGAGAGACGATTCATTACGTGCACTCCTGCTGAATAGATTCCTCTAAATAACTCATTGTGACTAAAGTGATTTTTTTTATTTCTTTGCATGTTTTTGCAAGATTTAGCAGAAAAAAAATAAAACTTTAAAAGCATAACTTCACTTCTCACAGGTTCACTTAATGTTAAATTGGCATGTGGACACATAAAGTCAATAAAAACAGAATTACAATCTGATTGTTTTTCTCCTTTGGTATTTCATATGTTGTCTTTTATGTTTTTGCAAAAATATTGAGAAGTAATCTCTAATTCCTTTGAGGTTATTTTCCTCCAAGTCCATTTCCCAATCCCCCAAAGTAGTAAAACCAAAAAAAAGAAAATTTTGAGTGGCAACAGCATTTGTTTGGCATCAAGCAGAGAGCGGCTCACTGTCAGGCCTGCACTGCACTGAACCCTTATTCTTAGCAGGATATTCGAGGAAGGGTCCGGATAAACCGGAGCGTTCAGCAGCCCCCGCCTGTAACAGCTCGCCTTTCATCAGCTCTGACGTTTTTTTTTAAAACACTGCCTTCACAGCCAAATGAGAATTATATGGTGCCATCCCTAACACCAAAATCCCCGTAAAAGTTAGACAGGAGAGAGTCGGGGCTCGGGGAGGGAGTGCATGCTTGCAGGCTGATGGTGTGAAGCACAGCTTTTGCAGCAAATACAACTTTACCACCAGTTTATAACCTCACAAAACCTTTATATTCCAAAGAAGAATAAGCAGCAGCACTGAACCAAACAGACCTTTTTTTTTAAAGACAAATTATGATGCTTGGTGTTGGGTCCATTTCTGGAAATAATATCCAGTAATCACCAGAAACAGAGATGGAATTGGCAGCTACACTGTGGAGCTGCAAATGAAGTCAGAGTGAGTGAGTGAGGGAGAGAGCAGGGGCCCATTAAAGTCACATTACTGTTTGGAGATATCATGTTTCTGCAGAAAACAGGATATTTGGTAAAAGACATGAATAGTTGTGTTGAAAGGAGCCAAATAACAGCCTGGGATTACTGTGTTATTCAGCTTTTTACTCAGCTGTAGTGAGGAAGAAGTACTCATATAATTCAATCAAATACAAGTGTACAACAACTTAAAGAAAAAGAATAAATCCTGCATTCATGTTTTTACTTTGTATAGTTGTGTTGCATTGCGTTGCATATGCAGTATTTTATATTAGTGAAGGAGGAGCTGACTTTATAAACTGAGCATCAATGTTTTATCTGAAATATAAAACGGCGTCAATTAAACTCAGAGTTAAAAATAAGTAAAAGAGAAATAAATGTGGTGGAAGAGATGCGTATTAAAGATTTACTAATAATGTTATGAGTTCGGTCGTCCATGCACAGTGATGGATCACAACAGAGACGCACGTAACAAACATCAACACATATTTCAGAGGGACGTGGTTATAGCCACCAACGTGAAAAACAAGCAAAACACTAAATGTAAGCAGCGAGAGGACAAATAAAAGAAAACGAGGTTCATAAAACAGGCAATAAATGTAAAAATAAAACCCTAAAATTAACAAATCAGATCCAGGGAATCAGTTAGTATTGTATGTTATTAAAAAAAATTCAACCCTGTGAGATCAAAACATCTTCAAAGTCATTTTGCGGAACATGTTGGAGTTTATGACCGGCCACTCAATTCTCTATATCAAACACTAACAACTCCAGAAGTGAGATAACTTTCAAATTTAAGTAGTTTGAAATCTTTAGAAGTAGAAAAACACAAGTAGACACAATAGTTCTAGCGTGTGTGTGTGTGTATGTGTGTGTGTGTGTGTGTGTGTGTGTGTGTGTGCAGGCCTGAGAGATGAGGCCAGCTCCCAGAGGTCAGCAGGGCTCTGTGTCATCCACAGAGATCTGAGGGAGAGTCCAACGCACCCCAACGTCGTTGTCAAACACCCCCCCACCCCAAACCTGCCTCTCATGTCAATACACGACAACAAGACTCCATGGATCTCCGTGCCGTTAGCGTCCTGTCACACATTTTAACAGCTCGCACTGCGGAGGCTCTGACGACACAGCGAGCGATGATGAAGCAAGGCCCTAATGGCTCAAATAACTTCATCATGCCGCTGGGCTTTGCACTCGTGCCTGCCGCCCGCAACTTTCCATGTCCCCCAACATGTGATAGGAGCAGGAGAGCGGGGGTGTTTGCAGTGGACTCGAGTTACTGTTGTGGGATCAGACCTGCTGGAACAAAGAGAGGCAGCCCGGCGTCACACTCTCTTTTATGGGCCTCTAATAGCCGTGAATGTTGGGGGGACCTGAACCTGGAGCTTGAGGTTGAGCATCACTTCGTTTTCACTTGAGAACAGCGTTTCCGAAGTAAAACGATCTCTGTCCACATTTGGGCTCCGTATCAGTTTTGATCTTGAACCATTTTAAACCTGCACGTCACACGACCGCTCACACACGTTGGACATGTGTGCGTGCCGCTGTAAACAGGATCTGGGCGAACAATAGCTCGTCTCCTGCAAATGTAAACAGTTCACTGCACAGCTGTCAGCAAAGAAAACAGGGTCCGCAAGACTCGTAGTTGATTCTCCACGTCACGTTCTACGCTGGTAACTGAGGCTAGTGTCGGTGGTTTTGTTCTGGGAGGGGCTCATGTGATGGGAAATCATCGAAGGCTAAGTCGTGATCGAAAAGGCCCAATCAGCAAGCTGTTGTGAGGGTCTACGTCATCCAAAAATCTCTGTTTCTTCCATCCAGCCCCGGGGTTTTCAAACTTTTCTGTATTACCGGCTCTAAAACTCAGGAGAGTGTGGATGGCAGGCGTATCCACAGCAGAGCTGAAGCGTGTTATGCATAAGGAGGTGGATGAAAATGAACTTTCACACATGCCCCTGAAAAATGAGGATTACAGTCGATTGCTGAAATGAAAAAAGTTTATTTTCACGGTCAGTTATGTACAAATATTTAAATACAATATCAATTTTCCAGCCTTTTAATACAAAATAAATAAATCTTAATGTCTCATTCTTAGAAAATATGTACAAAGTTGTTGCTCCTGCCAGAATGGCCGACTCATGGAAACGATAATGGAAGTTTTAGAATTTGAAATGTTGTCGTCGGGTATGAAGGTCGTCGCCGATGCCTCAGTTCTCCGGGGCGTTGGAGCGGCTCTTCTCGTCGTGGGTGATGCTGTCCACGATGGAGGACAGACGCAGGAGGCTGGAGGAACCCGAGGACCCACCGGTT